AATCAGTTGGAGCACGGTTTCGGCACGCAATTAGGTGCTGTTTTGCTGTGGCGGAGGGTCCGTTCTAGAGGCTTCATGCTTGCAGCTTGGAGCCACCAAACAACAACTGCAGGAGGCAGACAAAAGACATTTTTTCTTGGAATTCAGAAGGGACGTTGGGGAGTTTTTGTGGATAAGCTTGCACAACGTTTCGGCACGCAATTAGGTGTTGTTTTGCTGTGGCGAAGGGTCCGTTCTGGAGGCCTGATGCTTGCAGCTTGGAGCCACCAAACAACAGCTGCAGGAGGTAGAAAAGAGAAACTTGTCTAGGAATTGAGAAGGGTCGTGAGGGAGTTTTTGCGGGTAAGTTTAAGCCAGCACTATGGCGAAGAGTCCGTTCTGGAGGCCTGATGTGCTTGCAGCTTGGAGCCACCAAACAACAGCTGCAGGAGGCAGAAAAAAGAGACATTTTTTTTTTCTAGGAATTCTAAGAATTTTCTAGGAATTCTAGGAATCTAGGATAGGAATTTTCTAGGAATTCAGAAGGGACGTTAGGGAGTTGTACTGGATAAGTTTGAACACGGTTTCGGCACGCAATTAGGTGCTGTTTTGCTGTGGCGAGGGGTCCGGTCTGGAAGCCTGATGCTTGCAGCTTGGAGCCACCAAACAACAGCTGCAGGAGGTAGAAAAGAGAAACTTGTCTAGGAATTGAGACGGGTCGTGAGGGAGTTTTTGCGGGTAAGTTTAAGCCAGCACTATGGCGAAGAGTCCGTTCTGGAGGCCTGATGTGCTTGCAGCTTGGAGCCACCAAACAACAGCTGCAGGAGGCAGAAAAAAGAGACACATTTTTTCTAGGAATTCAGAAGGGACGTTAGGGAGTTTTTCTGGATAAGTTTGAACACGGTTTCGGCACGCAATTAGGTGCTGTTTTGCTGTGGCGAGGGGTCCGTTCTGGAAGCCTGATGCTTGCAGCTTGGAGCCACCAAACAACAGCTGCAGGAGGTAGAAAGGAGAAACTTGTCTGGGAATTGAGAAGGGTCGTGAGGGAATTTTTGCGGGTAAGTTTAAGCCAGCACTATGGCGAAGAGCCGTTCTGGAGGCCTGATGTGCTTGCAGCTTGGAGCCACCAAACAACAGCTGCAGGAGGCAGAAAAAAGAGACATTTTTTCTAGGAATCTAGAATTTTCTAGGAATTCAGAAGGGACGTTAGGGAGTTTTTCTGGATAAGTTTGAACACGGTTTCGGCACGCAATTAGGTGCTGTTTTGCTGTGGCGAGGGGTCCGTTCTGGAAGCCTGATGCTTGCAGCTTGGAGCCACCAAACGTGAATCAGTTTGAGCACGGTTTCGGCACGCAATTAGGTGCTGTTTTGCTGTGGCGGAGGGTCCGTTCTAGAGGCTTCATGCTTGCAGCTTGGAGCCACCAAACAACAACTGCAGGAGGCAGACAAAAGACATTTTTTCTTGGAATTCAGAAGGGACGTTGGGGAGTTTTTGTGGATAAGCTTGCACAACGTTTCGGCATGCAATTAGGTGCTGTTTTGCTGTGGCGAAGGGTCCGTTCTGGAGGCCTGATGCTTGCAGCTTGGAGCGACCAAACAACAGCTGCAGGAGGTAGAAAAGAGAAACTTGTCTAGGAATTGAGACGGGTCGTGAGGGAGTTTTTGCGGGTAAGTTTAAGCAACCAAAATGGCGAAGAGTCCGTTCTGGAGGCCTGATGTGCTTGCAGCTTGGGGCCACCAAACAACAGCTGCAGGAGGCAGAAAAAGAGATATTTTTTCTAGGAATTCTAGGAATTTTCTAGGAATTCTAGGAATCTAGGAATTTTCTAGGAATTCAGAAGGGACGTTAGGGAGTTTTTCTGGATAAGTCTGAACACGGTTTCGGCACGCAATTAGGTGCTGTTTTGCTGTGGCGAGGGGTCCGTTCTGGAAGCCTGATGCTTGCAGCTTGGAGCCACCAAACAACAGCTGCAGGAGGTAGAAAAGAGAAACTTGTCTAGGAATTGAGAAGGGTCGTGAGGGAATTTTTGCGGGTAAGTTTAAGCCAGCACTATGGCGAAGAGTCGTTCTGGAGGCCTGATGTGCTTGCAGCTTGGAGCCACCAAACAACAGCTGCAGGAGGCAGAAAAAAGAGACATTTTTTCTAGGAATCTATCTAGGAATCTAGGAATTTTCTAGGAATTCAGAAGAGACGTTAGGGAGTTGTTCTAGATAAGTTTGAACACGGTTTCGGCTCGGAAGGAAGAGCAGGAGGTAGAAAAGAGAAACTTGTCTAGGAATTGAGAAGGGTCGTGAGGGAGTTTTTGCGGGTAAGTTTAAGCCAGCACTATGGCGAAGAGTCCGTTCTGGAGGCCTGATGTGCTTGCAGCTTGGAGCCACCAAACAACAGCTGCAGGAGGCAGAAAAAAGAGACACATTGTTTCTAGGAATTCAGAAGGGACGTTAGGGAGTTTTTCTGGATAAGTTTGAACACGGTTTCGGCACGCAATTAGGTGCTGTTTTGCTGTGGCGAGGGGTCCGTTCTGGAAGCCTGATGCTTGCAGCTTGGAGCCACCAAACAACAGCTGCAGGAGGTAGAAAAGAGAAACTTGTCTAGGAATTGAGAAGGGTCGTGAGGGAATTTTTGCGGGTAAGTTTAAGCCAGCACTATGGCGAAGAGCCGTTCTGGAGGCCTGATGTGCTTACAGCTTGGACCTACCAAACAACAGCTGCAGGAGGCAGAAAAAAGAGACATTTTTTCTAGGAATCTAGGAATTTTCTATTCTAGGAATCTAGGAATTTTCTAGGAATTCAGAAGGGACGTTAGGGAGTTTTTCTGGATAAGTTTGAACACGGTTTCGGCACGCAATTAGGTGCTGTTTTGCTGTGGCGAGGGGTCCGTTCTGGAAGCCTGATGCTTGCAGCTTGGAGCCACCAAACGTGAATCAGTTTCAGCACGGTTTCGGCACGCAATTAGGTGCTGTTTTGCTGTGGCGGAGGGTCCGTTCTAGAGGCTTCATGATTGCAGCTTGGAGCCACCAAACAACAACTGCAGGAGGCAGACAAAAGACATTTTTTCTTGGAATTCAGAAAGGACGTTGGGGAGTTTCTGTGGATAAGCTTGCACAACGTTTCGGCACGCAATTAGGTGCTGTTTTGCTGTGGCGAAGGGTCCGTTCTGGAGGCCTGATGCTTGCAGCTTGGAGCCAGCAAACAACAGCTGCAGGAGGTAGAAAAGAGAAACTTGTCTAGGAATTGAGACGGGTCGTGAGGGAGTTTTTGCGGGTAAGTTTAAGCCAGCACTATGGCGAAGAGTCCGTTCTGGAGGCCTGATGTGCTTGCAGCTTGGAGCCACCAAACAACAGCTGCAGGAGGCAGAAAAAAGAGACATTTTTTCTAGGAATTCTAGGAATCTAGGATAGGAATTTTCTAGGAATTCAGAAGGGACGTTAGGGAGTTTTTCTGGATAAGTATGAACACGGTTTCGGCACGCAAGTAGGTGCTGTTTTGCTGTGGCGAGGGGTCCGTTCTGGAAGCCTGATGCTTGCAGCTTGGAGCCACCAAACAACAGCTGCAGGAGGTAGAAAGGAGAAACTTGTCTAGGAATTGAGAAGGGTCGTGAGGGAATTTTTGCGGGTAAGTTGAAGCCAGCACTATGGCGAAGAGCCGTTCTGGAGGCCTGATGTGCTTGCAGCTTGGAGCCACCAAACAACAGCTGCAGGAGGCAGAAAAAAGAGACATTTTTTCTAGGAATCTAGGAATCTAGGAATTTTCTAGGAATTCAGAAGGGACGTGAGGGAGTTTTTCTGGATAAGTTTGAACACGGTTTCGGCACGCAAGTAGGTGCTGTTTTGCTGTGGCGAGGGGTCCGTTCTGGAAGCCTGATGCTTGCAGCTTGGAGCCACCAAACGTGAATCAGTTTGAGCACGGTTTCGGCACGCAATTAGGTGCTGTTTTGCTTGCTTGCAGCTTGGAGCCACCAAACAACAGCTGCAGGAGGTAGAAAAGAGAAACTTGTCTAGGAATTGAGACGGGTCGTGAGGGAGTTTTTGCGGGTAAGTTTAAGCCAGCACTATGGCGAAGAGTCCGGTCTGGAGGCCTGATGTGCTTGCAGCTTGGAGCCACCAAACAACAGCTGCAGGAGGCAGAAAAAAGAGACATTTTTTCTAGGAATCTAGGAATTTTCTAGGATAGGAATTTTCTAGGAATTCAGAAGGGACGTTAGGGAGTTTTTCTGGATAAGTATGAACACGGTTTCGGCACGCAATTAGGTGCTGTTTTGCTGTGGCGAGGGGTCCGTTCTGGAAGCCTGATGCTTGCAGCTTGGAGCTACCAAACAACAGCTGCAGGAGGTAGAAAGGAGAAACTTGTCTAGGAATTGAGAAGGGTCGTAAGTCAGACAGAATCCTACAGTATGCTGCTGATTTAGAGATTCAAACCACTTGGGCAATTCAACGCAGGCAACTGTCCTGTTTCCGGGGTCGGCGGCAGGGGCGGCAGCCCTTAAATAT